AAAAAAAAAAAAAAAAAAAAAAAAAAAAAAAAAAAAAGAGAAGAAAAGTAATATAAAAGAAAAAAAGCCACAAAAGATGGGAAATGCACAGTTAGTCTAGATCCTGTATACTATTGTGTTGATTTTGAATTTTTTGAAGGCTAACAAATAACAGCTGCTAAAAGACATGACGTTGAAAGAGGAACTGATGAAATACTGCAGCCTAGATATTTTAAGAATGCCTTAACTTTGAAACAAAAGTAAAAAACTATATTTGTAAAATGGAACCTAACAGATGCATTGCTCTGGAGAAGTGGTTTGCTTTTGTTTCCACAGGAGACTAGAGGCTGTGGATTCGTTCCAAGTTAAGATGGATCAGTTTTGATCAAGGGAGACCTCCTGAAACTTGATGGGTAAATCTATCAACAAAGTTTATAGCTGGTCTATTCAGAATTTTGCCATTATTTCAAATTTTCTCAGGGTCCCCATAATATTACCAGTGCCCCAATCAACAAGTAGTAGTCTAGAGAACTATGCCCAAATTCCCAAAATACTATTTATAAATATGTGTTTTCATTTAAAGGGGGTTGGTTACAAATTGTTATTGGTCATAGTCAATCTCTTTCTAAAAGAAGAAAGGGTAATATGATATAGAAATGATGGGGGAAAAGGGTTAATTATTCTGATGGAACAAAAGTGCAGATTATTAAACCTACTTTAATCCAAAAAACAACTCTTAATCTCAAAACATTTTACATTGATATAGACTTTTGTTTATTGATACAAATTTAAAGTTAACTTTCTTTTACTATATGTATATTTCTACTCGTGTTTAGGATATTATGTTTATGTAGCTCATTTAAAAATGTAATGTGCACTTAAAATACAGATTAATTGTCATCTATAATAGTAAACTTATAGTCATGTTAGATATATTTTCAAGGTCATACAGAAATATATTTCAGATAGCCAATCTTCAAACACTTCAAAAATATGAAGAATATGGCATTTAAAATGTTTTAAGATTTTAGACTTTTCTTGACAGTTAAATACATCTGTTCCTGGCAGCACCAATTACTTCAAAGAGGATGATGGGAATTGAAGAAACTATTTATTGCCTGTGTTTTTATGTGTGTAGTTAGCTTCCTTGGGTTGGAGTTTTCTTTCTACCCCCTTTTGTATGACTGGGTATGTGGATACACAGTGTTTAAATTTGACTTTGTCATGAAATATCTTTTTTCCTCCATCTATGGTGATTAAAATTTTTGCTGAATATATTAGCCTGGGATGGCATCTGTGATCTCTTAGTGTCTCCAGCACACCTGACCAGGCCCTTCTGGCTTTTAAAGTCTCCATTGAGAAATCTGGTGTGATTCAAATAGGTTTGTCTTTATATGTTGCTTGGCCTTTTCCCCTTAGGCTTTTAATATTCTTTCTTTATTCTGCATGTTTAGTGTTTCGATTATTATGTAGTAAGGGAACTTTCTTTTCTGATCCAATCTATTTGGTGTTCTTTAAGCTTCTTGTACCTTTATAGGCATGTCCTTCTTTAGGTTAGGAAAGTTTTCTTCTATGATTTTGTTAAATATACTTTCTGGGACTTTGAGTTGGACTCTTCTTCTTCTATTCTTACTATTCTCCGATTTGGTCTTTTTGTAGTGTCCAAGATTCCTGGATGTTTTGTGCTGTGGATATCACTCTATATAAATAAAACACTGATGGCCAGTGACCAGGCAGGAAGTATGGGTGGGACAAAGAGAGAGGAGAATTGGGGAAACAGGAAGAAGGAGGGGGAGACACTGCAGCCACCACCAGGAGAAGCAGCATGTAAAGACTCTGGTAAGCCACCAGCCACATGGCAAGGTATAGATTTATAAAAAGGGGTAAATTTAAGATAAAAGAACAGTTAGCAAGAAGCCTGCCATGGCCATACAGTTTATAAGTGATATAAGCATCTGAGTGATTATTTTATAAGTGGATTGTGGGACTGCGGGGCTTGGTGGAGCCTGGAGAGAAGCCCTCCAGCAACAGTTTTGTGTTAGGAGATTTTTTTTTTTTTTTTTTTTAGATTTCACATTTTCTTTCTCAGACAAAGCTATTTCATCTATTGTATCTTCAATGACTGAGATTCTCTCTTCCATCTCTTGTATTCTGTTGGTTATGCTTATGTCTGTAATTCCTGTTTGCTTACCTAGAATTTCCATGTCCAGAATTGCTTTAGTTTCTATTTTCTTTATTGCTTTTATTTCAATTTTTATGTCTTAAACAGTTTCCTTCACCAATTTGTTTGCTTTTCTTGGTTTTCTTGGCATTTTTTAAGGGTTTATTGATTTCCTCCAGTTTCTTGTTTGTCTTTTCCTTGATTTCTTAAGGGTTTTTTTCATCTCCTCTTTAAGGGCCTCTATCATCTTCATAAAGCTGTTTTTAAGGTTGTTTTCTTGTGCTTCAGCTGAGTTGGAATATTCAGGTCTTGTTGTCACAGTATAGCTGGTTTCTGGTGGTGCCATATTGTCTTACATGTTGATTATCTTCTTACACTGGCATTTAGGCATCTGGGTTTGGGATGATTATAGGGCTAGGTACTGATTTCTGAGTTTGTCTTTGTTGGATGGGTGTTTTGTTCCTTGGATTTTGTTTCCTCTTTGGTCTTTTGGACTTTGTGGCCTGGATTTCTGGCCGCCAGCATGACCTCTGATTTACTAGGAAGTCCTTGCCAAGTTTGGCACTGGCCTTCTAGAAGCTAGCTTGTCCTTTGGTACAGTAGGGGGTCTCTGTTCTTCTGACTGGGTGTGGCCTGCA